TATAGAAGGTTCTTGAACCCCTGCTAAACCTAGTCAGAGGAGGCCTTGCATCCACCTCCATACAAGTTCACATAGCGGCTGTAGCATGTTTCCATGTTCAGGTTGATGGAAAGTCCCTATTAGCCCTAAGGGAATCAGAATGTTTCCTCAGAGGTTTAACTGTACCAGATTCCTCCAGTTCTCTGATTGAGCCTCTCGCTGGTGCTCACTCAACTTGTAGGCAAACCATTTTAACTAATGGCCACTTGTCACATTCTTCTACTCACTATGATAACTATCTAGGAGCAATAGCATCAGCCAGACACGTCAGTGAGCTGCAGGTGTTAAGACACAACCATCCCTTTCTGAAAATATTTTACACCAGGGTAGTTCTCTGCATGTCTTTGTAGTTCCTAACTAAGGTAACATCCACATTCTATTTAAACTATGTTATCACCCTGCCAGTGTTATATTTTCAGCCATAGGATGAACGAGAGCAAGTCCTGCATTCCTTAGATGTTAGAAGGGCCCTCCTCCACTATTTAAGTAGAACAGAATCCTTTTGAAAAGATGATAACTTCAGAAGGCCCCAACAAGGGCAAGAAATTGTCAGCTCACTCCATCTCAAGAGAGATAGCCACATGCATTAGACTATGTTATAAAGTGGCACAAGTTAACTGCCTGCTGCAGAGCCACGCCCATTCTACCCAGGTGCAGTCTGCATCGGCAGCTTCTCACTGTGGACTCTGTTGACTCCATCTGGAAAGCTGCAATGTGGTCCTCTACCTGCACCTTCACAAGATGCTATATAATGGATGTGCGTGCTAGGAGAGACCTGGCAGTGGGAAGACCCCATTCTGGGAGGGGGGGGAAATAAAAATCTAATATAAATAAATAAATACAATAAATAAGAGCAACCCTGCAATCTCTGTTCAACTGAGAGCTCACACCCACCTTCCTAGACTGGTAAATTACTAATAATCTCCCATGTGGGACTACATGATACCAACTGCAACTGTTGTTCCTCAAGTGGTCACCTGCATTGTTCCCTCTAATCTGAGTTAGTGTGAGCTAGCTCACCATTTTTTCGCTTCTGGCTCACACATTGTTTGTCTTAGCTCAGGAAAGATGGCTCCAGAGCAAACTAATTTATGCAGAGGGAGCATTGCAGTCAAACAAGCCCCCTGCCCCACAGTGAGCTCTTAACTATCTGGTAACCTCTACCTCATTCCGGTGGTGGCAGAGAGGAACTGAGGGAAGGATGCTCCGCCCTCTTTGTATCACACTGGGAAAGTCAGGAAGCAGTGTGGGGGAAGGGGACAGAGTGCTTCTAGGTGTTTTGAGCTTCAAAAATGCTCTCCATAACAGGCCTGTGTGTGTGCAGTACCCATATGTGACTGCAGTGGTGAACACTCAGTTAACAACAGCTACAGGTAGTGTCATAGATGCAACGAACATGAAATTGAGCAAACTTCAGAGGACGGCGGAAGACAGGAAGGCCTGGCGTGATCTGGTCCATGGGGTCGCAAAGAGTCGGACTCGACTGTGCGACTGAACAACAACACCAGGTAGTGCAATCCTGTTTAGCTGTCACAGGAGTAAAGAACATCTGTTCCTATATGTCTTAGACATTTTGAGCCCCTTCTGCAAATTGAAGGGATCTGCATCTGTAGAACAGGACTTCCTTGCCTTCCCCTTCCTGCTGCAGCCCCAAACGTGCCCCCTTAGTCTGTTGCTTGGAGAGGGCTGCAGCAGGCGATCTGTTCCTATATGTCTTAGACATTTTGAACCCCTTCTGCAAATTGAAAGGATCTGCATCTGTAGAACAGGACTCTTCCTTGTCTTCCCCTTCCTGCTGCAGCCCCAAACATGCCCCCTTAGTCTGTTGCTTGGAGAGGACTGCAGCAGGCTGGGGAAACAGTCAAATGTTGCCTTCCTTATTCACAAAAATCCCTCCTCCACTGGATCCAAGTCACTGGAATAACATAGAAAATGTAGTTACATTTAAAATAATTGGAAATACCTGGCCACCAGACTTGGAAGGCAAGGTCTATTTATTTATTTATTATATTCTGCTTTTATACCTCCCATTCCCCAACAGAACTCAGGGCAGTGCCCAACAAAACCAAAACCATATCACACAGTTTAAAATGGATAAAAGTCACAATGAAACTCCTTAATTCCATAGTAGCAGTACAGTTTAAAACACAGGTGACAGTCAAAGTTCCAATTGTGCTACCACCTTGCAGGGGTGAGGGGGGAGAGTACCAGACAGACGGACACTGTTGCGGTCCTCAACCAAATGCCTGGCAGAACATCTCTACCTTGCGAGCCCTGTGGAACTGTAGTATGTCCCGCAGGGCACAGATGTTACTCGACAGAGAGCTCCACCAGGCTGGGGCCCTAGAGAGGGGCAGCCAGATTTCTCTTGGGCCAGGGACCACAAGCAAGTTCTTATCCTCTGAGCATTTTGCTCTCTGAGGGATATACCGGGAGAGGCGTGCCCAAAGAAATGCAGGTCCCAGACCATTGAGGGCCTTAAAGGTAAGCACCAAAACCTTGAACCTGATCCAGTGCTCAACTGGTAATCTGTGCAGCTCACGCAGCACAGGTCAAATATGTGCTGATCGCAGGCTCCCAGTAAGGACCCATGCCGCTGTGGACCAGTTGAAATTTCAAGGTCAGTCTCAAGGGTAGGCCCATGTAGAGCGAGTTACAGTAGTCCAATGTAGAGGTGACTGTTGCATGGATTACTGTGGCAAGGTCAGGGTGGGACAGGTAGGGGGCCAGTTGCCTGACCTGGCATAGCTGGAAAAATGCCTGTATAGCAGCATTTGTGATCTGGGTCTCCACTGATAAGAAGGCATCCAGAATCACACCCAAGCTCTTGACAGGTGGTGCCCGTGTTAAGGGCACACTGTCAAGAGCCAGGAGTTGGCACCCCAACCCTAAGTCCCCCCTGCCCAGCCACAGAACCTCCATCTTTGCTGGATTCGGTCTCAGCCTACTGTGTTTCAACTATTCCATCACGGCCTCCAATCCCTCGATCAAAGCAGTTAGGGCAGCATCTGGCCACCCATAAGCAGATATAGCTGGGTGTCATCAGCATACTGGTGACACCCCAGCCTGAAACTCTGCGCCAGCTGGACAAAGAGATGCATGTAAACGTTAAACAACATTCAGGGAAAGGATTGCCCCCTGAGGGACCCCACACACCAAGGGGAGCTGAGGCAACATCCTCTCCCCTAGCTCCACCCTCTGTCCCCGACCTTGGAGAAATGAGGTAAACCACTTCAGGGCTACCCCATGAACTCCTATGTTGGCATGGTGGTGGGTCAACCCCCTTTAATTTAAAGGGCCATTATTTCCTATGGGGGGCCAGCCCACTCTCCTGCCCAGAAAAAGTACAGAACCAGCCTGACTTTCTAGTGAGACCGAGTGAGCTTAACTCACAAATCCAATCTCTGTGTGATACCAGGGCTTCATTCCATCCTTCAGGCTTCTTAAGCCCTCTTCTAGCCCCATTGGTGGCACGAGGGCTGAGTTCAACCGGTGGTGGTGGTGGGCTGCAGCTGCTGCCGGGCTTTGCTGTGCCGTGGGATCCCAAGCCAACAACAACAGGACTGGAAAGGGGCTTAAAGGACTTGAAGATGGAAGACAGCCCCGAGGCTGCTAACAGGTGCAACACTGTCCCAGGCTGCCAAAAGTGAAGGTGTGTGGGGAGGGCTTACATCCCGGCCTTCCCTCTGAAAATAATGGCCCAGGACCCTTCCTTTCTCTTCTTCCCTCCTTCCATTTTAATTCCATGTGGGGATGTCTGGTTGGCCATGTTTATCCTTATCTTTAAATATCAGAAGTATTGTTCTAGTATTTCCGGAACAACGTTCCATTACAACGGCAATACCCTTGATATTTAACAATAATCATTCCCTTCTTGACTTCCCAACACAGAATTAAAATGATAGTGATTTTTTTCCTAGTGCACACTCCTAGTGATCTGCTGGGTGTTTGATAACACCTAAGGTTTTTTCCTATTTGCTAATTTCATATTTTGCAAAAATTGTGCATGTATGTTTTGGGGCTGCTTCCTTTTGGATGATAGCTCCTCAAAACAAGTTTTCAGAGGTGCAAGGGACTGCTGCCTAAAGGGAAAGTGAGTATATGTGCGTCTCACACACTGACACGAGAACACAAATGCCTCTGAGTAATTCAGGGTTCCTGATTCAATTGACTTTTCAGTGTTACTTATTCTATATTCTTCCTTTGATTTCATTCTTAATCCAGTTATATGGACACAACTCCTGTTAAAATCTTTCAGGTCTAATGGGTATAGGATTATTTCCATATGTATTTGTGCTGATAAGGTATTAATAATTGAATAAATAAATACATTTATTAGGAAGGCATTTGGTAAGCACCCAAGGGATTTTTCTACTCACTCTTGCACCATAATCCAGTTGGCTACAGCAATCATTACAGTATTGCTGCAACATGGTTTCTTTTTTCTTTAATTCTATTGAATGTAAATCTGTTCCTAATGAACATTCATAATTCCTCAGTATTATGAAATAATTTTGCCTGTAGCATTTGTTGTAAGGAATTTGGTCACTTTCTTACTTCCCCCAACATTATAGATTTACAAGCAGACCGCCTACCCACTGAGGAGTGAGTGATCTCCCTTTTTGTTTATTTGCAATGGGGGCCAAACTTTTCATCTGAGCTCCATTTTCCTCAGACTTTATGCTGTTATTGCTGGAAAATAGGACCAGGCCCCTATATTTACTTTTGGACTTCATTATCTTAGCAATGTGAGATGTCCTTTTCCGTTATAGGCTGTAGCTCAGAACAGCATTCTGTCTTGTTCTCTTTGAGCCATCTTGTAGGGAAACTGTAGTCTCACTTGTGACTTTTTAAAATTGCTTATCATTTTACATACTTGAACTTCGTAGGCAGACTATCAGTTTGCAAACTTCATAGCTTATTCTGGCATTTTTTTTCACATTTTCTCTTCCTTTTCTCAGGTTTTGTAAGTTACGACAATCCAGTCTCTGCACAGGCTGCCATCCAGTCAATGAATGGATTTCAGATTGGCATGAAACGACTGAAAGTACAGCTCAAGCGCTCTAAGAATGACAGCAAGCCATACTGAGCGCCCCTCCCCTCTGGAACTGGAGTGAGAAGGATCTTCTGGTAAGTTGGGGAGGAGTGCGCTTGGTGATTCAGAAACTCTTTAAGGCTGTATTTTTACAGTCATGAAAACTGATACATGTCATTCTATCTGACACATCTCCTGAAGACTCAGCTGCAGCCTCTACTGGGAATTCTTCGGATGGAGGACAAGTTTGTGCTTTTGTTTCCAGTGTTTTACTTTGGAGTTAGGTGCCATATTGGTGATCTTTTTAAGTTTGCTGTGTTGTAACCAGTGTGTGTTGAGAAGGACCAAAGCCAGCCACTGGGGCGGGGGGGGGGGGAGAGAAGGGAAAGTAGCAGACACTTTCTGAACTGACACTGCATGACTCTGACACAAAGAGAAGGGGACAGATTTATTGCTGATCCCCAAGTGACATTGATGAAGTGGGTTGGGGAGGGATCTGAATCCACAATACTTGGTGGCTAGGCAACAGACCATCTCCCCACCCCACCCACTAGAGTCTTTGCCAGACTCTCATTTTCCCAGATGCCTTATGTGAGGAGTTTATACTGAATCAGTCTCTGGAGAGAGAAAAGTAGTTGATCAAAAATATTTGTGTGTTAAAGGAAAACTGCAGTAATTCTAATATTACGGTGCATTTGTATAGTACAGTGAGTATGGTGGTAGCTTACTGAATGAGCCAATCCTTTTTTGCATTTAAAAAAAAATTACTAAAGAGAGAATAACAAACAACAAAGAAATAACAAAACAAAGAAAGAAGAACTACATAAAATATGAAATGATGCTTTGATCAAATGTTTACAGCCCAGATAGAATCAATATTCAGAAGCACAATTTAAAAACCCCTTAGAACTAAACTAGCAGATGTCTTTTAAAAAGTCTTGTTGCTCTTTTTTGGCATTCTTCTTTTTTGAAACTGAGAGCTGAGATGTTCAAATCTTGTTGTCCCAGAAGTCAACGCTTAATTTCTTTTAATATCACAATTACTGATCTGCAGTTTTCCTTTGAGTACAGGTGCTAGTATACAGCAGAAAGGGCTACACATGAATTGCTGACATCGCACAGAATCTTGATAACCTTCCTTTTCATAGTGTTTGTAGCCCAGTGCCTAAACAAATCAGTCAAAATTCTTTCCCCTCTAATATCTACTATTTCACACACCTGTGGATTTGCCAAAGTGTTAAAGTGGGTTTTTTTTGTTTTGTACACACTGATGACATGGGACTAAAGGGAACTTTGACATTCTGGCCTGAGCCATGGTGAGAAGTCACTGTAGCACTTATCCCTAGAGCCACAAAAACTACCACTTTCAGTGGGAAGGTTTACAGTGTTGTGTATAGATTTAGTTTGCTTCTTCTTCCTCAGTTATTCTCTTCTACGTGTTCCCATTTGGTGAGCATGCTTTATCACAGTGCACCAGCCAGTCCTCCAGTTCTTGGGTTTGGGAATTAGATGTTGAGAAGACTTGCCAGTGAGGAGAAGACAGCAAGATTTTAAAAAAATGGCTTCCTGTCCGCTCACAAAAGGAGGAGCCTAAAAGCCCATCAAGCCTGAACCCCCTGGTTAAAATGTGTCAGGCATTTGTGTGGCTCACTACTAGGATTGGGCATAACCAGGGACTGGGTCCCCTGGTGTGTTACACCTCATAAGTATAAGGCCATGCATCTCAGGTTCAAGTGATCGTTTCTAGTGAATTTGGAAATATTGTTAGTAAATACTGTTCTGTATCCTTGTTGGACTGATTAGTAAAAATTCAACTGTCAGTATTTATAAAATGTGCATAGTGGTGGCAAAGGCTGAATGGTCAGATTGCCAAATTTCTCACCCTATGCTGGCATGTGGTACCCTTCTGTGTTGATTATTTGGGTCTGGTCAGAAGTATATGCATACCCTTAGGTGAATTGTATACATTTGAATTTTGTGCACTAGGAAAAGCGTGTCCTGATATTCTGAGAAAAAAATCTTGTTGGAGTGTTGAGACTTCCAGAGTTGTCATGGGATTTTTTTTTATAAATAATATACTTTTCAGGAAAAGAAAAAAAAAAAAGGTCATGGTTGGGAGCAGCTGCTCTAGTTTCAACCTGATATAACCAAGAATGTTGTTTCTATTTTTATAGAAGTTTTATACTGCTCCAGGGTGGAGAATATTTATTATCTAAATTATTTCACTGGAAAGGCCAGGATTTGCATAATCCTGAATATGATTGTTTTACACATACTTACTACAATGTGCGTAAATAAAACTACTGATCTATCAGTGGCCTGTTTGCAGCTGGACAAACTGCTAAATAGGAAAAGAATTAATGCTGTGAACCAGTGAAGGAGGAAAACTGTGCTCAAGTTTCTCTACAGTCACTCCTCCCAGCATCTTCTCTGTCCCCTGCCCCTTCTGAATCCTTGTCTTTTTTTTTTTCTTTTGGCCATCCATGATAGCTTTTCCATACACAAGTCTGCTCAGTAATCCTTTTATATAGTATCCATCCATAATTTTCATGTGCTGTTTATATGTGTTCATCATGGCTATAGAGGCAGATTGCCTCTAGTTAAGTTAAGATTGCAATATCTGTATGTAAATTTTCCTATATGGCATTGTGATCTGTATTAGTGCCCTCATCCAGAATGATAAAAAGTAAACCTTTCCGGATTATATCTGAAGAATCAGATCTTTGATATATATTGAGAAAGTTCATGTGCCTTCAGTGGTACTTCTCTGAATTACTTTAATTAGAAAACTTGAACCAAAATATGCCTTTCTGCTCAGTTTGATCTCGCACTGCATGCTTTGCAAAAAAAAAACAACAACTCAAATTAAGTGTTTGGAATACACTTCTTCACAGAGAATCTAAGTCTGTTCCAGTTTTGTCATCCTGCGTCCGTCCCCCCGTGTCTCTTTCCTCTCCCCCCCCCCATTTTTCCTTTTCCAAATTTGAACAGATCCTCTGGCAGGGAGCCTGGATATTATCTTATTGGCTGTTGCTTTGAGGCAAATTAGATCAGTCATCTGTGTTTTGACCGATACGACAAACAGATCAAATTTTAAAGTGCACCTATTTTAGTTGCTTGGTGTTTTTAAAAAAGACTGTATATCAGTCTTGAATTTAACCTTGAACAGAACATTAGACATTTAAATCCTTTGAATAAAGTGAGCGTGTTTGCTAATATGCGAATCATGCAAATTATAAGGCATTATTTGGGGCAGACTTGACATTCATGGGACAAATATTAAAGAGTATCTCTTCCTAAAGAGCTACCTTATTTTCATAGAAAAGAAACAATAGTGTGTGGACAGCTATGATTGAATTATCTATATAAAATTTTCTTTTTCACCCAAGTGGTTTTCACATAGACATGCACATATTTACGAGAATTTGCAGGATACAATCTATTTTTCTGATTCTGCTTGGTGTGTCTCACATGTTATGAACAAAAGAAGTCTTAAAGGCTATATTTAGCCTGCACAATTTCTGTAAGCCTAGCTGTATTCTCTTACCAAACATATTACTTTCCCCCCCACCAAGATAATTCTAAAATTATCTGCTCTATAATGGCTTAGTCCCTGTGAACAGAGCACACAGCAGGTCAACATCCTTTAAGAATTCACACATAAAAAATAGAAGACTGCTTTTGGTCAGTGAGCTGCAACACCAAGTGTTATGTTTAGTTCAGAATGGTGTAATATGCCTTTGACTGTAATTAATCTTCAGAAGCTCAGTTTTCCTACTGATGTTTTGCTGCTTCAGTTTTTCATGTTCACCATCTCATTGACAGAATGTTTTCTGAAGATCTGAAGTATATTCACACTTGCAAATTGTCCCAGCTTTGAAAATCTCTCAAGATGTTGCAGACAAATTCCTCCCACTCAGATTGGCAACAGTGACTGTACAGTTTCCGAGAGTCCAGCATTCTTCCTCACAAATTCAGGAAGCAGGAGTTATTTATTGAAAGAATTTCAAACATTTTCTTGCAGGTTTCATAGTATAAAAGGGCTCAAGCTGGGGCAAGTCTTAGCTTGCAATCAAGTCTTAATTCCTTCCTATTTTACAGGGGGTTCAGTTCCACTTATATACCTGTATGTGATCTTTTACTTGATTCTAAAACCAACAACCAGCATCCCTGTTTTCTAAATAATAGCTTGAAACAAGTAGGAAGGATTTCTTGGGCTGCTAGTTATATAAGCATGTCCTATGATAGGAAAGAAGAAAGTGTCTCAACCATCAAACCCTCTCCCCCTGAGAATCCTTCTGTGTCTCCTATCTCTTACGAGCTTAATCTCCCTGAGTGGTTGTGAGCCCTGGAACCATATTTTATGGAGTCCAGTTTTACCAGCGGGAGTTTAATGTGGTGTCTTCCTCAAGCAGAGCTAGCAGGAACATGAGGTTGGGATAGCAGTGAATAAATAGCTATCTGTGTGCCAGCCATAATCCAATCTGTAGCCAGCGTTTCAAGGGAATCTAAGACCTCTGCTTTCATTTGGTATCTGACAGTTTAACATTTATTTGGTGTCTTATGCACTTCAACTTTTACTTGTTCATTGTTGGCATGTGCTGCCCTTCCCTGTCAATTCCCCTCCCCAAGAGGTCTCATTGTACAGTGACCATTCCTGTTCTCTCTTCTCTCTCTGTTTGGATGTACTGCTCTGTGTAACTCAGTGGGTCTCCTTCTTTCTGGTTTGTTTTTTTCTAGATTCCTGCCGTTTGTTCATCGTTGTGCCTAAAGCATGTCGATGTGGCGTTCAAGTACATCGTCCAAATCCTTGTCTCTTCAGCTTCTCTGATGCTTGAACTCTCGCCTTTTGACCTTGTGTTGACTTTTGATGCTGATGTGTATTTTTATTATGTTTGTTTCTTTTTGTTTCTTTCCTTTTTTGTGCTGCCAAATTGGTTTTGCTAGAAAGACTGCTGAAGGGGAATATTTAAACTTGCATTTGAATATAAAAGAATTCTATTTTTCTAGAACTTCGTAAGATAACCACTTGATTTTGTGATTCTGATTCTTTGTAATTGTCTTCAGAGCAGCCTTGCTAGCATACCTCGTGGAGTATTTGTATTTCTGTGATCATACAGCCAATCACTTCTAGGCTTAGTTTTTTCTGTGTGCTTAGTTTTAAAACAGATCTTTGAAGGAAAAAGTAAAATGATGCAACTTAAAACTTTCAGGAGGCTTCTGGTCACATTTTGCTGAATCTACTTTCTGTGCTTGAGGAGACAGCATGTATTCTTTGACTTGAGTAGCCTCAGCAGAAAACACTTGAACTACACTTTCTCCTGATAGTAGCTGCATTTTTGCCCTGGCACTTACTGTTTTTTCCTTCCTGTGTGATTATCAGCCTCTGTCTGCAGTGAAAGTTTAATCAAAGTTGATGTTGTATTTCGTTAAACCCTAGCATGCTTAGTTTTTTGTAACTACAATCTCCTCAGCAAAATGTGAGATTTTGTTTTGTTTTTTTGTTTTTTACAAACTCAAATAATGCCCTTGTAAACGTTTTGCATGTTTCCTGCTGTGTTCTTCACAATCTCGTATATATACACCCTTCACCTCTGTTTTCTATAGTTTGTGCAAAAACTGAGCAATTTAATAGGTTTCAAAGCTATCCATTTTTGGATGCCAGACTTGTGGTCATGTGTCACGTAAGGACATCTCCTGTGCATTTGGACTGCTTTACACAATAGCTGCACCTTGCTCTATCATCACAGCTATGGAAAGGTCTCAGGGGGCTTGATTGCACTGTTTCGGTGGTAGTAGAGGTGGCAGGGATAGAAGATTAGCAGGAAGGTGTGAGATGCTTGCAGTAATATTGCTTCTAAGATCCATTGGAGCTAAAGCTCTTTTCGGGTAGCCTTAATTTGTACCTCTTGTTTAATATGTGACTTGCTGTGTGAGGTTTAACACCATCATATCTGAGTGGATGGAAGCTTGATTGGCTCTCCTGTCTTCACACTTGAAGTAGCATGTTCTGTGTATGTATCCCATAGAAGGAATCTGTAAGCCTAGGCACAAAACTGCTGGCTCTTTCCCCAAGTGACAAGCACAATATAACAGCCTACTAGCTGTTACCTGAACAGGGTACCAACCCCGGCTCCTTTTCTCAGGGGCCTTAGCTGGGGAATCTCTCTCTAGAGATATTTTTCGTTTGTTTTTTTGTTCTTAAGTTGGGTAAGGAGTCACGCAGGGTCCCACACACACACACACTTTCTGACCTGATGGGAAAAAAGGGCAGATCTTCCTTCTCTGGGAAGCATGCTTTAGCCTTGTAGTACATATAACCTATTATAGAAGCTGAGACTTAGTACTGGGTTTTGCAGCACCTACAAGAAAATCCTGTGGTAGGTGCCTAATCACACAAGGGGCAAAGTGGTGTGAGGAAGCTGGGAAGGAGCTTTGACAGGAGGAAAGAGCATGAAGAGAATTTTTGGAGAGTAGGGACGGTATGGGAGACCTATCTCTATGCTAGGTGGAGGGCTAATTTGTTCCACTGCTTCGGACACAATTCTCTGCCCTATGCTGGCTGGGTAGCCATTTCTCCATGCTTGTTAGATGAATATGCATAGTTAGCTTTTTCCTCAGTCTTGTGATCATCACCTTTTTGAGAAGGAGTTGCTTGAAAAGGTGATGGCTGCATTATCTGGGGGTACAGCTGTGAGATGGTTGCTCTTAGGCTCAAGTCGCAATGCACAGGGATGTCTTATGGCAGGGGAGATCAAGACCCTGCAGTGTATTGATTAATTTTGCCAATACATTTCTTTACAATGTGCATTCAGTTCCATGAGGAACTCTGGGGAATCCTGTGGAAAAAAGAAAACTCTGGAAAAAACCAAAATGCCAAACATTGGATGTTCCTTTTCTTTCTTCTTTCCTTTCTTACCTTGGTTGTTTTAATTATTCTGTGGTGGTTTTAATGGATTTGAGACAGTAAAGCAGCAGCTGCCTTTTATTTCTAGCTGCTTTTTGTGAATAATTTAAAAAAAGAAAAGAAAATTTACATTTTGGAAACAAACCTGTGGGCTTTTTTATTGGTACAAACATTGTATTTAACACTAGGGGTTTTGTACAGTTTTTTGCCTTTTCTACTAGAAAACAATGTAAAGTGATTCACAAATGTGACAAGAAAACAAATTGCCACTATGACCAAATGTAGAGTCTGTTCTGCAGTAACAGGATTTAATCAACTCAGTCGTGATTCTGTTGTAGCAAAGCTTTTCTTTACCTTGTTTGAACTGTTCCTTTTCCTTGTTTGATTTGCAAAACAAAATGTCTTTTTTTGTGTGAAATTGTGTTGTACTCTGTAGAAAAATTATGGATTTTACTTTAATGATTTAAAATAACAGAAGCATATGTTGCTTTTCTGATCACGGAATTTGTGTAGTGGATTTAAAAATGAAAGTTTTGTTACAAGTTTGGAACGGGCGAGTATGTATTAAGGAATTTTTTTCCTTTGTGTGTGGTTTCTTTTTGTCCCACTGGGGAACTTAAAGCTGTTTTAATTGCACAGACACACCGACAAGAAGTCATTTTGTATATGCCAAGTGTGGTACCTCCCTTTGTTTATTTGCTATTAAACTGTTTGAGAAGAATTTCTGTGTCATCTTTGTTCTTCCTTATGTATGCACTAATAAATGGGGGAGAGGGTTTTGCCAGTTAGAAATACTAATCTCTCTAGCCAAAAAGAACATCCCAGTGTTTATCATATATTGTCTCTGGAATGCTTATTCTTTTTCCCTGCTTGCACACTAACAATGTTCTAAGCTCTTTCTGTCTGCTTTTAAGGTTTACCCTTTATTTCCTATTCTAAATGGTGCATTGGTTATCCTAAGGATGAATCGTGACCAACAACTTGACCAGAATTCTCGTGTGTCAAATGCAGCATCACACCTGAGTTGGTTTATGAGATAATCTAATATGTTAAAAGACAGAAGTAGCTTCTGGGAAGATAAGTACACTGCACACACACACACACGCACACACAAAAGAATTACCAAGCTACTTGAGTTTGGTGATCCATGGAGATCAGCATTCTTTATTCTCACAGGACACAGATGCTGGATGGAAGTTTATAAGCAAATGAAACATTAAGATACTTCTGCCTGATCTATAATGCACAATGATGTCTCTAAACATAGACATTGTGCTGTTAGTGGTAGCCAAGGACATTGTGGTTCTACTTGCAGATAGCTATACTTTGAAGGAGTTTAAACTAGTAGCCATCATAACATCTGTATCAATAAGTCCTATATATTTATGTTGCCTCTGGTATAACAGTACTTTCTTTTAAACTTATTGGTGGATTGGGGATTTTTGAAATTTGAGTTGAGTAATACTGTAGTCATCTATAAACTAATATTCATTTCTACTTATGATCTTACCAATATCTGTAATTCATGTTAGAGCTCAGCCGTAATTATTCCTAGACTTGTAAGTTATAGTGGTTTTTAACTTTTTCTCCTTAAGGAAAGATGTTTTGCCCCTCTGATCATCTTTGTTACATCTCTCTATCAGTTCTTCATGTTTTCTCTATTCATTTAAAGATGATAGTCAGCATTTCCATACAGTTTATACCACAAAAATTGCATCAGATCAAAAGATTATGTAGTGCTGCATTCTGTTTTCAGTAGTACTCACATTATACAATAGCACGTGCTGTTTTGGTTTTGATCTTGAACAATGTACACTTGCCTAGTCCCCTGCTGAAGCATACCAAATCCTATGTGCTACCAACTAGAACCCACATCTTTATGAAGTATCTATACCCAACTCAGAAACCATCACAGTGTATGTATATTTTTAAAAATCCTATCCATTGTAATAACCTTCTTCACCCGCAGGTGAGCAACTCTGTCTTGGAATGAATTTGTCGAATTGAGAGGCCTCCGGCATTTTTATTCTGATTATTTATTGTACCTTCTGTTCAAATTACTACCCTGCTCTCAACATACTGAACATGGAAGTTAGAACAGCTGCTGTCTTATACAAAAATGACTTGTGTTGTTCTGAGAGCTTTATTTTGAAGCAAAGTGGGTTCTCTTGGAACAAAATTATATGTGGAAGATTAAGCAGATATTCATTTAGGAGGCAGCTGAAGGGCTATGATTACAGCTGTGGTTTAAGGGCCATGATATTTTTGTTAAGAGTGAGAATCTATTCTGTTTCTGCTATCAATGGTTTCTCCTCTGGTTGGGTTAACCTTTTTACAAAGCTCTAGAAAATTTTAAAGCCATGTTATTTAAATGATATTGTGATTGACTGCAATACAGTACGGTGTTCAATTCTGCATTACATCCGGTGCTGTCTGATAGGCACAAAGCAGGGTTCTTTATCACCTATTGTGTGGTGCATAAAACTGAGTGGATAAACGAACAACTCTTTTGAATTCCATTTGCTCATAAAGAGGGGTGAGTGGAATATGGAGAAGAAAACTTGATGATAAAATTGTCCATCTGCAAGAGTTGATTGTAACACAGCCTCATTATACCTTTGACAGGTTAATAGCAAAACAAAACTCATATTTTGTCGAAGGCTTTCACAGACGGAATTCATTAGTTGTTGAATGATAAGCCTAAGCTTTAGGTACAAGCCCCAGTAGACATGTGAACATTAGCTAGAGTTTACAGCGACTTACTTAAGGATGAAATACACAACACAGGCCTATAGGTCTTGTCTCAATGCCTTTATATTCCAAGCAATATGAGTTTTTTAGTTGTTGTAGATTTTCCGGGCTGTATGGCTGTCGTCTCGGCACTGAAGTACCTGATGTTTCATTCATTCAAGATTTTTTTTGTTCAAAAAGGAGTTAGAATTGTACCTTTCTTCTCTCTCTCTCACACACACACACACACCATTAGCCCTCTGGGAGGAAAAAAACCCTGGTCACGTACAGAGACCAGTGGCATCTGTGAACTGCTGAAGCATTTCATGAACTCTTCATTTCCATGCTGTGTTCTAATCTTGTTTCTTTTTCAACATTTCAAGAGAAACTTAAGTAACAATGAAGCAGCCATAGAGTGTGTGTGGTGGTTACGTGTGGTCTTTCCACCACTTTGTGGGCACTAAGGTGAGAATCCTTCTCAATCTGACTGCTGCAGCTGAGCCATTTGAATTCATTCTGCTGTGAGGAGAAAGAATATCGGTTCGGGGGGGGGGTTCTTTTTTGGGCCGCAGACCTACATGGTTGACTTTGGTGAACAGGCTATGGAAATTTTACACCCATGCATCTATGACACATTTGACTAAAGGTATAATGATCACTAGAGAACAAGTAAAGGGCATGAGAATTCCAAGTTATGCGGGGGGGGGACACCCTAGATTTGGAGAACTGCACTGCCTCTGCTTTCAACAGGTTTGTTAGTTTGCAGGCTCCGGGCTTAGTAAGGAGAGGCCAACCACACAATGACAATATTTTGGAATAAAAACAGGCCACAGCTTTTATTGATTACAGACGAAGGAACCTTGGCGAAACATGGGGGCGGATCCTGGCCAATCGAGCAGCCTGCCTGCTGCTCAATAAAGACATCCCACAGCCCATCTACTGGGAAAAACCCGGGTATAACATATTATTGGTATCAGAAGGGTGGCTGCCACTGAGTAGTACCATTTGACACCTGGGGTGAGCCTGGGCACAGCCCCCGAGCTGGACATACTGTGTGGTGGCTCAAACCCCCAGACCCCATAAGGGAGTCGCCAAAGTGGAGGAGGCAGACATACAGACCCTTCACCCCCAAAAGGATCTGCGCAGATGTGCAAAACTACCCAGCTGTGACAGTTAAAGTATATGCACACAGAAACCCAAAATCCCAGGCTGGGTGGGTATCCAAGCAAAAACCACACTGCCAGAGCCTCCAAGGAGCACCCTTTAAATAAAGCTGTATGGGCTCTATGTCACCCTTACATAAAGCCCATCAAAACTTCCCGCACTTCCCCAGGACGGCCCATGGATGACGTAGGCCGGCTAGCGCAGTAGCCTGAGGCTCCCACCTTTACCGCCGATGGACTAAGGGCGGGAAGGCCTGCTCCTGAGCCCATTCTGCAAACTGGCCATGTTAGGTGAGTCACAGCTGTGCTTGTCAGCCTTTAAATGCTTGTTCTGCATTGCATTCCAGTGCTGGATCTTATTAGTCTATAGTTTCTGCAGCTCTGCCTCGTTTCAGCACCAGCGCGTTCCCCTCCTTCCTTCTAGCCTGGCGACAGGCAAATCTTTTTAGCCCAAGTGCTGGAAAAATGCAGTGCCCGCCTGTGAAGATGTTGATGTGCTGGCAAACTAGGAGGGGGGCAAGGGTTGTACTTGGCCAGGCATACTTGGAACAAGTCAAGCCCCTGTGGCACTGCCAGCATCTCAGAAATTCATCTTGGACTTGGCTGGTGGCTGTGCAGGACTGGGTGGCAATGATGGGCATAAGCCATGTCTGTTGCCTTATCCTCCACTGCGGGCTCCAGCAGTGCTGCCAGCTCCTTAGTTGCTTGAGCCAGAAATTTAGCCCTGTATACCAAGCAAAGTGGTCTGGTTTGCCACTGTCAGTACATGTGCTAGAGATTGCTTATCCCTACAGCTGTGCTTTGAGGAGGAGATACCATCTTTTGAGACTTCCCTGAGTATACATACTCTCTATATTTCTGGATGCAAGAATTATCCTTTGCAGTTTGCCTGGAGATACACCACAAAGAGGTGGAGCCTGTGGATTAGAATTAGTGGGTGATTTGGGTAGCAGGAACAAAAGTGGAAAAGCTTTGAGCCACAAGCTTCAGAATGAGAAGCAGCAGTTCACAAGCTGTTCCTTATGTTCTTGATAGGAGATTGTGTGATTTTTCAGAGATGTGGAAGCAGCCCCCCTCCTGCCCTTGTGCCTATCTAGGAATCATGCCATACATTCAAGAGAAGAATTTGTGATCCAGTCTGAGTGCATGATCAAGCTATGAGCAGGCAAATCAAAAGGCTTTTGATGTCTGCTTCTGTGTTAAATAATTCCAACCTTTTCTCTTCCTGTGTTTCAGACATACACAAAAGGATGGCTTTTGAAAGGTGTCTTCCAAAACTAGTGGGTTTTGAAATCTATATGGACAAGATAGGGGGGCACTACATAATCAACAAAAATTAGATGCAGAAACCTAAGGATATTGGATGGTTTATTTCTATATCTAAAATCCTACATCTCTATAAAACAAGGGGTTTACTAGATCTCT